CCGGGATGTGGTGGGGTGGGGGCAGAACCCCAATAAATGGGCGTTGGGTGGGTCTGGAGGGTTCGGTGTTAAATTGAGGTGGGGGGGGAATTTGAGGGTTCAACGCTCACCGCTCTGTGTTGGGCATCTGTGGCCACCTGCAAGCAAGGGGTCCGGAGGGTCCCTTCTTGTGCTCAAGGAACCCTGTTTGCACCCCTGAGGGACCCCCCCATTTGCACCCAAGGGACCCTCATGAGGTCCTGGCCCCCCCCCTCCATCCCCATCCCAGCCCCACAAGCGGTGGGATACTGAACGACTTGCAGACGACGGTCTCCAGGTCGTAGAGGCAGCTGCAGACCTCGCGGGGGTCCGAGGTGAACCCTGAGAGCTGAGAGGAGCCAGGGTGAGGTTGGGGGGGCGGGGGGGGACACACAGAGATGTCCAGGCCCCCCCTCTACTCACCCACGTGGCGTCGTTGTTCACCACCACCAGCGCGAACTCATGGCACTTGTCGATCTTGTGCTTCGTCCTCACGAACATCTCGATCATCTTCTGGGAGATGTTCAACGCGTTGGTCTTGGACCTGAGAAGAGGGGGACACACACACACACACCCCCCCAGAGCTCCAGGGACCAGTGGGGACCACCATCCCCCCCCATTCTGAAGGTGGGGGACACAGCAGAGCCCTGGGGGTCCTGGGGAGCGCTCACCCGTTGAAGGACTCCAGTTTGGGCAAAGCCATCTCCTCCGCCAGGTCCAGGCAGATGATCTGGAGGATGGAGCCACATCTGAGACATCTAAGCCCCCCACCCCACCCCGGTAGCCCCTCACCAGGCTGTGGACACTCACAGAATCACAGAATCTTAGTGGTTGGAAGGGACCTCTGAGATCATCGAGTCCAACCACAGTAAAAAAAAAACAAAAAAACAAAAAAACAAAAAAACCCACCAAACAAATACAAAACACACCACACCAAACGCCCACCAAAAACACCGCACCCACCAACTAAACCCCACACTCAACACCTCGCCATAAACCAATAACCTTGGGCACTAGAGCATGCCCTGAAGAGCCATGTCTATACGTTTCTTAAATACCTCCAGGGATGGTGACTCCACCACCTCCCTGGGCAGGCTGTTCCAGTGCCTGACCACCCTCTCAGTAAAGTAGTTCTTTCTAATATCTAATCTAAATCTCCCCTGCCCCAACTTCAGACCATTTCCTCTGGTCTTGTCGTTTGTCCTTTGGGAGAAGAAGCCAACACCCACCTCTCTACAACCTCCTTTCAGGTAGTTGTAGAGGGCAATGAGGTCTCCCCTCAGCCTCCTCTTCTCCAAACTCAACATGCCCAGTTCCCTCAGCCTCTCCTCATAGGACTTGTTCTCCAGACCCCTCCCCAGCTTGGTGGCTCTCCTCTGGACACGCTCCAGCACTTCAATGTCTTAAGGAATCTTAAGGAAAGCCCCTTGGCACTATGGAAAATATAGTCTGGTTAAAAACAACTCACCACCTTCTCGGGACAATTCACCCGCGGTGTCTTCACCTGCACCTCGGCGTGGGGCGCGGGGGGGCCGGGCCAGGAGGTGCCGTCGGGGGCGGCGGTGGCCTGTGGGCTATCGTCGGCGCTGGCCGCCTCGCCCTCCCCCTCGCTGCGGTTGCCCACGCTGGCCTGGGCGCTCAGGGCCCGGTCCTCGGCCCCCTCGGGGTTGGAGCGGGTGCGGGGTCGGGGCTCCATGCTCTTCTCCTCCTCTTCCTCGGCGGCGCTGCCCGGCTCCGAGGTGTCCATCACGCACCCGCGCTCCATGACACCCCCCCCCCGGCGCCGCTGGGGAGCGAGGATGAAGAGGGTGGGGGGGATGTGGGGTGTCAGTCCTGTGCCCCCCCCATCTCCAGCCCCCCATGCTCTGTGCACCCCCTGCTCATGTACCCCCT